CTGCCCCAACATCCAGCCATCTGCAAAACCTCCAAAAGGACAACCAGACTGATATCACATCATTATAAGAAAGGAGGAAAGTCCTTTTTAGACACAAACTGTACATAAAAAAGACAGGTTGCATCTGACTTTTGCATGGACTAATGATGTTTTTAGACATTTTTTTATTTAACAAAAAAGACCCCAGCAGTGTTGACTCAAGAGTCAGAAAATCAATCAGTCTTTATAAGTGAGAGGTTTGAAAAGCTCTGTCTTGTTTTAATTTCCTCAAAGAAACACAAAAAACACCGAAACAAACTTTTCTTTCTTTCGTTTTTTTTTGTGGACGTCACCCAACTGAGGACATTTAATGAGGGATCTCGGCTGATTTCATGGATTTAAACAAAGTCTTCCAGCTCTTCTCACGTGGATTCACGCTGGTTTTACAGATCGAAATCTCTTATTTCAGAACAGGGAAGCCTTTGGTTGAAATTACACGCACACACAAAGGTTATTTCTATTTTGTTCCTATTCAAACCTCACATTAAACGCACAATATATAAAAATAGCCTATATCTACTTGAAGGAGGTATTATTTGCATAGAGCACGCCAAACACAACCTACTTTCGTAAGTTGCAAAAACCCCGTTGAATCTCAGTTCACGTTTCTTTGTGACTCTTATTTGTTTTAACTTATTTTGTAAAATAAAACGTTGAATTTTTCTTAGCCTAAATATTATTCCTAAACGCAAGACATTCCTGTGTGCAAACTATTCTGAGTGCCCTTATAAATCTCTCTTGACATCTTTGTAAACAGTGTACATTTTCAGAGGCTCTCGCACCATTTGAGAGTCCTACTATAAAAGATCATTTGTTCCTGCATGGCATCAAATTGATATTGGATGTTTCTCATCTGAAACAATCAAATCCAGAATATTTAGGAATATAATTGTTCGTTTCTTCTTGATATTATTTTTTACGTCATTATTTATTTTAAAAAACGTGTACATTTTCGTATAGCACACATACAATTTTAATTAAAAGTATTCGTTAAATTTCAATTGATCTAAAATATGTTTGAACTCTTGTGAATTATTAGCATGGCTTTACGCAGAGTTTGTAGTCTTTAGTTAATGTGGGAATCTTCTAGTTTTTCATTTACACAGAGCTAACCGAGGGGGGCTTTCACGTCACGTTTTCAAAGACAGATATTTCTTGTTTGATACCGTCATTGTCTTTCGGACAAAAAAAGCCCAGAAGCTCATCCCAGTAAGAAGAGGTCTTTCTCTGTGAAGTCTTCCCGATGAGAGGCTTGAAAAGGTATTTCAACCGCAGGTCGACAAAAGCAGCAGAGACAGGTTCATCCAGGGGCCACATTTCAGCCGCAGGACTGACCCCAACACCTCTGACCCGCCGGACGAGCAGCTCTCCCAGGCGCTCCGAGCTTTGCTTTGGAGGCTTTTTTCCAAACTTAAAAAAAGAGTTTAAAATATTCAGGGCGTAAATTCCATAGTTTTTACAAGTGTTTTGACAGTAGGCCTATTTATATATCATCCCCAGAAGCTTCTGATTTGTGCATTTGTCTCCTCATGTCAATATGCAATATTTTTGGTTTTATTTTTGTACATGCTTTTTACCTTGTATTGTGCATTGAAATGCGAGAAGTATATTCGAAAAAATAAAGATTTCTACTGATTATGTATTTAATTGATTGCAGAAGCATTTTGTTGCGATCTTTTTATTTGTATTTTCTCCACTCGAGAAGAAAATTGGTATTTCCCCGTGCCCACTGAGGTATTTAAATGTATCTTATTTCTCATGGACATTTTATATTCGATTTAAAATAATTATTTCCTGTCATTCGGTTTGCACCATTTAAAAAAAAAAAAGGGATCCTTTTGGTGGGAAACGAGTTGTTTCTCAGTGAACAAGCGTGTGGGGCCATATGGACCTGAAGCCCCCTTTTAAAAAAACACCACAATGCACCAAATGTTCGCTGCATGGGCAAATACACTGTTCTCATGTAAGACATGAAATTAAGTAACAAAAAATACATTATGAGTCTACCATATTGTAGAATATCTTTGAAGAAACGTGTTTAAGAACGATGTTGTGTCTTATTGTTCGCTCATAAGCTCTTATCGAGACGAGCGAGTCCTCATCAGCTCTATGGAGCTTTTAGAGGTGCTTTTATTCAATGAAAGCTGCGTTTAAGTGTCTCAGAAAACACGAGTCTTTATTGCAAAACAGTTGTTAGTTACATTAGTCTTTATTATCAAACAGCCTGCATTCAAACTGACAGTTACAAACTTTTTCCGAGTCGATGCTCCTGTTACTAAATCAGATTACGCCACAATTACCAGAAACAGTTTATAACATGTAGTCATACACACTTTATCAACCATTATATATGTGTTATTAGACCCCCTCGTGCTTTAAGAGCTATCCCTTTATTGAATATGACCCACATCTGCCCTGACCCTCGACCCCCCCCCCCCCCCCCACTGCAGCATCAGTGCTGATACAAACAATAGTGGCCATAAACGGACATGTGGAAAGACAATCTACAGTCACTCAGCATGTTTCCATCCCCAGTGACCACTGTCTGATCCCGCTGAGTGCGCGAGGGCCTACAGGCGTGCACTTATATGTTTGTGTAAAATGCATGCGTGTGTCATATAGATTCAGAGAGAAGCTGAGACAAAGTGATGCCACCGATCCACCATCCTGCCATAAATGATCTGCACATAGATGCTGAAGAAAGGATGAGCGAGAGAGAGGAGGGGGGTGAGAGGAGTGGGGGAGGGGAGAGGGTGGTATAGGAACAATTGGACAACTAACCTATACCTACTATACATTATAGTTCTTTAAGATAACTTTTGATCTATTTTATATTTTAAAGCCATTTATAATTAATCACGACTTGCTGAACTCCAGTTATTAATATGAATTAAACCTATCACAACACTGTTCCTAGCAGTTATCAGGTCAGAGCAGTACACCGTACAGTGTATAGCCACACTGACCTACATGTCTGAGCAGCAATAAATGGGAGCCAAAGGCAGTGCCATTTTCAATGACACTGCACCCAGTGCAGGAATACAACGTCGTTGCTCTCCATCCGGCCATATTTGATTTCCAGCTGTTTTTTCGCAAAGTCTCTCGGAGCCAGACAACCCCCCTAAAATATATTAAAGTGTGCTGTCTGCATTCAGAGATATAATCCAGAGACTATACCACTCCGCTCTCTTTTCCTCGACCACGTGATTGTCTAAATAATTAATGCAGCACGTCCCCCTAGAAACACGGCGTCGTCATTAATCGCAAGGACTCTATCAGACTTGAAAACTGAAGAGATCCCCCAAGAAAAATAATATCCGATACCCGGCTCCACCGTATAGCCTCGCACTTTAGCGACACATCCGGACCGATGGATGCTTGGGTAGGTAAATATTTCAGCATTTTTCATGTTGCCCGAGCTGGTAAATGACGATATCAAATGTCGTGATTTTTGATAAATTGCAGCCTTTTGATGTGTGCGCTGAGCAGGATTGTGTAAACTGTGTTAGTCACTGTGTGCACGTCTTCTTTTTATCCCATTTATTAGATATGGTAGGATGTGTGCTGTTTACGCATTTGTCTGGGGAAGGATTGATAGGAGAAATGGTAAAAACTAAAGGGCAGTGACATGTATTTATGGCTTCTCGCTCTAAATAAATGCTCTATCGGACCCATCAGCTCAATGTGGCCCCTCCACAGGGCCCACTGACTCTTTATAAAGACTCTAATTCAGACTTTTAACAATTAAGTGCAAAAAAGAAGAAATTAAATAGATATAAAAAAAGCATTAGAATCATAAATTGCTAAGTATAATACATCTTGCTTTATAGTCATAGTTCTCAACAAGATAAATAATAGGTTATTTACAATTTATATGTCCTTATTATAGAATTGTGGTGTATTTCTTCAGTATTTTTATTGTTAGTATGGGCTGTTTTGATTGTGATTTCTAAGAAGTCTTGGAAGTTTGGGCAGGCTGACAGGTCTGCCTCCTTGTAAATCATTCGCAGTAATTCCTGAAAGGGTTTTAGGCTGTTGGGGGCCGGGCGAAAACTGTAAATCTTTCACTTTTATTGCCCTCTGAACATATGCTGCGACGCTACCGGTCCTGCATCTCTTCTTGTTCTTCTGGTCCTTCTTCTCAGCAGAGATAACACACCGCTGATCAGCCGACGCTCTGCGGCTCCAAATCCTCCTGCTGCTGTCCTTTCTGCTCTTTTACCAACATATTTATTTATTGCTTATCAAATCGGGCTTTTTATTTTATTTATTGATAGGGATAATATTGCAAACAATGCAAGAGAATACATGGATCTCGTGTGTTTGAGCAGTGTGAGGACAGACACAACAAACAAAAGATTATACTGTGGTTTATTTGAATACAATGCAATCCCAGCTGGAAGGAGAAAAAAACAAACAGATGTCGTGTATTTCATAAATCATTTTAGAAAATGCATCTCCCACATCGATGCAATTATTGGGCGACTAAATAGGATATCAATAGGAAGTATAATGATACTATTTAAAAATAGTATCCAAAATACGTAACTGGTGCATTTACGGCCAGGTTTAAACGTGTAATTGTGATTGTTTTAAAGGAGAAATGTGGGGAAAAAAACTGAAAAAAGGGTTAAAATATAAAAGCAGCTGAATCTCATAAAATGCACACCATTTCTTTATAATAACCTAAGCCAACACAATGCTCTTCATATGCTGAAACCACTGCACTGATGTAGCAGGAAAATGTACAAATATTTATTATCCTTAACAATAGCTTGTGATATAATGCTTGTGTTTAAATACTGAAGTGCAGGCGAGTTGTAATTCAGCAGCAGATGAAAAGAAATAGGCAGTGGAACATTTTCACACAGTTCAGATGAGGAAATAAACGCCACCCTTTATCAAAATGGATTGGTGAGGTAAGGCTCGGTTGTAGAAGAGAACAATCACGTGAACAAATATGCTTGTATCTTAAGGCAGCGCCTTTATTTGTCATCACAAAGCTTCCGAAACACCCCAAAATCCTAACGTTAGCTCCAAATGTGTATACAGGCCTATCGTTTCTGAATATTTCCTGTATATTTCAATGGGTGATTGATTGCCAGGGATTTTTTTCTTCTGGAATAAGGATACCTTGTTCGCTTTTTATTGGTAGTTGAATGCGAGTCCTTCCAATCTTTCGGGAATACTGTCTCCATTGGTATATGGAAATGTCTGAAAAACAGCAAGATCAGGTTTAGGACAGCATTGTCTACAGACAAAGGGTGAAGGATTTATTCTAGAGACTGCGTGGAAAGCAACTGAGACTGAGAGGGAAGTTGTTTTATGATGAATTGATTCGCAGGTAAGCAATCGCATGGCAGAAAGCAACCTTTAACCACGGGTTAATATAATGCGAGGAAATATATTTGATTTATTCCACTCATGGAGGTGATGCTTGTTAATGTGGCTCTCACTGGCGACCGTACGGATACAGCTATACCTCCCCATGAAGCCTATAGCCTATCATTATTATTTTTTTGAGAAAGTGCGTTCAAATATTATCGACAGATTGATCTGCTTTTCAGCTGATTTCACGTTTGGATGGAAACCGTCTCGGAGGGAAGAAGTAGGAGAGGAACTTTTTCTTTTTGACTCTTGGATCGTAAATCACATTAATTTGTTGTCTTATCGTCACACTGGCGTTTGCCGTGATTTATGTGGTTTCAACTATATGGCTTTGTTAACCTGCAACGTTATATTATACATGAATTCATATCGGATGTTTTGAAGGATTACCGGGCTGGATAGTGGACGAGGATCAAGGCAAATACTTAATTTTCCTACTATTTTGAATGCGTTTTTAGCTCACTTGTATTTGGTTAATTGCAATTCATGCGAATTTTCTTTTTATTTATTTGGTTTCGGCAATAAAAGTCAGGCCTGATCGCGAAAATAAAAGTGGGTTATTTATTATATATTTAAGTTGAATATTACATTTAGCCTATCTGAAAACAGATTATTAACGTTTCTATGAATGTATGTTTTATTTATGTGCTTAATTTATGTGCCGATGCCTTTGCATACACTTGTGATTATGCTTATTTTCAGAAAAGCTGCTTAATTTCTACCAAAATCAGGAAAAGCAGTCTTAAATCAAAACTTTCTGCTGCAACTGGTGCTAGCATTTTGCTTTCTCCAAGAAAAACACACCTCGTATTTTTCTACAAACAACTGCGAGAGAGACAATATTATTTCACTGATCAACTGCAGTTATTTCGTGCATGTAAGAAACATTTCCAATAAATCATAAAGTGCTGTTTAACTTGAATATGGCCAGCATTTCAAAGAGCTAGCAGGAGAAAAGACAAGCTGGGATAATAACACTCCACATTGACTCCGGCCCATTGTGTGAACCAAACTTACCGTAACAGCGCGTAGGCGAAAAACACTGCTGTGTGAAAAGAGGACCATGTCTGCTACTAGTACCCAGTGTGCTCCAAAAGCACTTCAGGCGCAGACTATCGACCAGTTTAACAGATAATCCACAACGAATGAATCTTAAATCTCCATGATCATATTTAAAACAATTAATCCTCAAAAAACCCAAGCAGGGAACCAGCGATGGTTTCAAACTCACAGACAAAAAACTATTCTCTGAAATGTCCTGATGTTTAATTTATACTTTCATGCCTTCGGTGATTCATCTTCTCGTCTGTTTCAGTCACCTCTGAAAATCTGCTTTGAATTTAGTTGAGAGTTGAGGCTACTTGAAGCCAAACTGCTCGTTGTTCATTAAACTTTGACCAAATGCTAAATGACCTAAAGGTCACCTAAAAAAGCTTATGACTGCTAAATATTTGGCTTGCTCTTTGTGCAAAAAGTGCACATGCAAGACCTTTTTCTGTCAAGCAGGTTCTTGAAAAAAAGTGCCATCGGTGGTTATTGCAGGGACAATTCAGCTTTAAGATTTAGCCTATTTAAACAGGTCAACACATATACAAATACATAATTATGAAGGAATTATTTGAATTAAAAAATGTTTTTGATTTCATAAAAAATACAATTACTATTTTAATTCTATTTTCTTAAAGTGGCGAAGAAGATTGGGCTTCATGATGTTAATATTTATTTTTTGTATAAACTGGGTGTATTGCTCGAATAATGAATGTGTTTTAAAATAAATCTAATGTAGGAAACTATGTTTTATTTCTCTTCCAGGTCGAGGAGGGGGCAGTGATGAATGCGTGAGGGATATAAAAGAGAATTGCACAGATTTCGGTGAGTAACATTTCTTTAATGAAGGGAGTGGACAGCACAGAACAACTGCTAACAAGGTGAAAGGGTGATTTGTTATTAGGCTACATATTAACGCTCACAGTGTTTCACAGGAGGCTTAAATCACCAACACAGACATGAGGGATGACTTTAACTTCGCCTGTACCAGTATTAGGTATTAGCGCAGGCCAGGTCCCATTCCAATATGTCCAATTGCATCGCCGCATGAATAAAGCCAACATTATTTTAAGAAAAAAAAAATACATTGTTTATGTTTACATTTTAATAAATAAAATAAAAATGGTAATTAAAAAACGTAAAATCCGTAAGAATTTCTCTCGCTTTTTAACCGATGTGTAAAATTCTCAGCCTTTTTTAACGCTCAAATCTCTCCAGTGTTTCTCCTCGGTGTTTGGCTGAAGACTGGAGGCTTCGCTTATAAACCGAGCCTCTACATGGGAGAAGTCGCCGAGTATGAAATTCTTTCCCTTGCCTTCCTCCTACGCTTAGTTTTACACTTCAGAGGGCAGCGAGTCTTGAGGACTGTTTTGCTTTTCAGTCCTCTCTGAGGCCGTTTACGACCATAACATTTGCGGTCATAAATTTTGTCCGCGGTCCACACTGACAGGTGCAATTGTTATGCACGGCGTAGGCTGCACTCCTCAAGCCACCAACATACAGTAGGGCCCTTTGATATGTGTTTCAGCTTCTAGTTCAAAGGATATTCTGAAAACAAATGTGGTTGCAACAATATCCAGAGTATTTGACAAATTTCCTCTGAATTGTTATTATTTAATTTAAATTGAAGGTACATTTAGCATGAATGGGACATAGATTTGAAATCCAAACAGCTAGTCAGAATGCAAAATATATGATTTCAGTCCTGTGTAAAGACTAATATCATATTTAACTCCCACCCTCACCCACCTCTCTTTCTTTCAATCTATCTCTCTTTATCCCTCCCTCCCTTTCTTACTTACACACCGATATCACCTACATTTTACATCTAAAATTAATTACATTCCTTTGCCATTAATAACTAACAGTGGAGGACATTAGTATCTGTGCGTAAACATGTGATCCAAACGCATGTGCGCGGCCCTGGTGGGCTATATTTCTGCTGCAGGGAACAATGCATGACTGGCTTTGTCAGGCGTTGTGATTAGTGAAAAGGGTATTGTGTGCATGTGTGTCAAATGCTGATTCAGCTTATTTCTGAGGGACCACTAAAGCCTCCCAGAGGGTCCTTTAAGCACAAGTTAAACTTTAACTGTTTTGTGCCACAAATCAGTCAGAGTGCCACAGTGTTAGAGACACTGGAGAGACAGTTGGTTTCTTTATTAGCCTATAGCAGCATTAACATTGGTATAAGCAGAGTGATTCTCCTGCTTTAATGTGAATGTAAACCATGTATTTCAGCGGTCATTGGAGTAATGTAAAGGCGGTTGCAGCTCTAATGACTGCAGGCCTTATTCATGTTTGCCCCCATGACTCTGACACATTTGTCTTTGTAGGTCACAGACTGGAGCAACGGTGGGAAACACCAATCACGTGAATAAACAACAACATCCATGCCATTGGATAAAGTTGCATTGGCTTTTTGGCTTTGAATCCACACCAAAATGCAGAAAGCAACATACTACGATAACTCTGGACTGTTTGGAGGGTACACCTTCCCCAAACCAGACTCCTACAACTACGGTCCTGCCCACCAGTCCTACCCTGCGTCTAACATTGAGAATGACTACCAGGCCTCGGTGTGTCCCATCCAGACCTCTGCTGTCCGGCCCCCGACCATCAAAGATAGTGACCTGAACGCAGACTGCATGCGGCAGAGCGGCAGCCAGAGCAGCAGCAGCAGCAGCAGCCAGGCCACCAGCATCGTGGAGCAGCAGGCACCCCCACTGTCTGCATCCTCTCCCAGCCCCAACAGCTCTGCACCCCCGAAGAAGAAATCCCCACCCAGCAGCGCTTCCAGCATTGCCACACCGACCCTCACTAAGCAGATCTTCCCCTGGATGAAGGAGACCCGGCAGAACTCAAAACAGAAGGGCAGCAGCTGCTCCGGCGCAGGTATAGATCAGGATGGTGCGTGTTTGTTTATACATTAAGGGAATGGTGCGGGTGGGTTTGGGCCTTTTCAAAGATTCAAAGGTTTTATTGTCATATGTACAATACATGTCCCAGGCTCCTTCAACGCAATCCAACATGAATATAAGACAAACAACAATATAAATTGTGTAAAAAAAACAAAATCTGTATAAAATAGGGCAAGAGAATGATGCAAGGGACAAATGTGCAACATGTGTAAGAAGTAAACTATAAACATGTAAAATAGAATAAGATGAGCTAAAACCAGAATATTAAATGAAATACTGGAATACAATCCTGTTTATTGTAATAATAAATAATATCTGCTACAGTTTATATTATAATAACATGTCTGTAAAAAGGCTAACATGATGCTGTGCTTTCTCTACAGCTGGAGAGATGAGTGATGAGAAGAGCCCACCGGGACCGGCCTCCAAGCGGGTCAGAACTGCTTACACTAGCGCACAACTTGTGGAGCTGGAGAAGGAGTTTCACTTTAACCGCTACCTGTGTCGCCCACGGAGAGTGGAGATGGCGAATCTGTTGAATCTCACCGAGCGTCAAATAAAGATCTGGTTTCAAAACAGGAGGATGAAATACAAAAAGGACCAGAAGTCTAAAGGGCTCGCACACTCTCCCCTGGGACACTCCCCGGACAGGAGCCCACCGATGAGTGGCCCGAATCACATTGGATACTCTGGTCAGCTCCAAAACGTGAACAGCCTCAGCTATGACGCGCCCTCGCCCCCGTCCTTCGCCAAACCCCAGCAAAACATGTACGGTTTGGCGGCGTACACGGCACCTCTGGGTGGCTGCATCCCGCAACAGAAGAGGTACCCGGGCTCCGAGTACGAGCACCACGCCATGCAGAGTAACGGCGGCTTTGCCAACGCCAATTTGCAGGGCAGCCCCGTTTACGTGGGGGGGAATTTTGTTGATTCCATGCCAGCCTCGGGCCCCATGTTCAACCTCGGCCATCTTCCCCACCCCTCGTCCACCAGTGTGGACTACAGCTGTGCCGCTCAGATCCCAGGAAACCACCACCATGGACCCTGTGATCCCCATCCCACATACACAGACCTCACCTCTCTCCAAGCATCTCAGGGAAGGATTCAGGAAGCGCCTAAACTCACGCATTTGTAATATGTGGTTTATGTGTGTGTGTGTGTGTGTGTGTGTGTGTGTGTGTGTGTGTGTGTGTGTGTGTGTGTTTGCGTGCGTGCGTGTGTGTGTACGTGCGTGTGTGCGTGCCAAAATTATGTTGCGCTCTTTTTATTACCTCACTAGTCTAATAACTACACTCCAAGCGAGTCGTGTGTATTATTACAGTATTATTGATATTACTATTAATGCTATTGTGTGATTATTTTTTAAATAATAACAGCTTTGTCCTTTTCTGTTGAATATCTGATGCGCAGAGGCAGGTTGTCAGTTGTTCCTTTTTTTTCTTTTTCTAAAGTGCAATGCGCAATTTTTGACTGAATATTTCATGGTGTTACTTGAAGGTAAGTCTTGTAGATCACGAAAGTAGAAGCTCATCTTTAGAGAGAAGGACTTTTAGGGAATATTTCGTCTGTTTTGTAGGATATCACTCTCCTCTCGGGCATCCTATTTATTTATTTTGTATCATTTTGCATAATCTTTTGTACTAGCATATAGCCTATTTATTATTTAATTACTTTTGTATTGCACATTATTTATCGTTTATATGCGAGTATTTATAAGTGTGGAGTTTTTTATAAGATTGGACAGATCAGTGCACTTAAAAGTGTTGGTAAAACAGGGTTTGAAAAATGCTATGACTCGCAGTATTGTTGAAAAAGAGCATTTCTAATTGTAAATCTGGGATAAATGGGACATCTGATAGTGTATAAACACCACTACATGTCCATGGTTAATCTTGTGTCAAAACAAAAGCAAAACGTAGACTATCGAATATGAATATTATACACACCAGCATGTCATTTTGTGTAGTCATTACTATTTTTTATTTGTCTTACATTGTTATTCCATTCAGTTGGATATCCATACATTTATGAAACCTTAATGATATTGAAATGTTATATTTTATTGTGTTTAACATTTTGTAAATAAAGTGCTCAAACTTGTATTTTTGATTGCATTTTGTTGAAAAAGAAAAATCCCAGCAGCATTGGTCGCCACTTGTTTCTGATTATTTTAATTCCTCCCAGTGAAACTGTCAGGTAACAGAGGAGGCGTATTGACTGCACTGCTCTACTGTATAGTCCAAACAGGGAGAGCAGATCAATAATTAGACACCAGGATATCTAAAACTCATCAGACGGCTCTATGCCTCCAATGCAAAGTGCATTTCAGCGAAGGCTCTGCATATTATTGATGTTCCATTGTTGTGAGAGAAGGGAGTCTATGGGCTTATTGCATCTTTCACATGTCACTTATCATTTTTTAGACTCGGCCACATGATTACCTTCATATCTGCTGGGACAAGGGAATAAGCTGCATTTTCCTATAGAGCAAAGCATAATCACTGCTGTCTAATTGATTGGTAAAAACTAATATTTCAAAAATTGAAGGAGTGGAAGTGTGTCTATTCAATGATGGGTATGGCAGATCAGATTTGTGAGAATAAAAACAAAAGTAGAAAAAAAACAAGATTTGACATTGGAAATGATGCAACGATGGATGTGCGTGTATTTATCCCTTTGCGTGTGCGTGTGAGAGAGAGAGAAAGAAAGAGGGAGGGAGCAGTTCATCCTTTATTGCTCCTGGAGAGCCATTTCAAAGCTCATTAATCAAAAACTCGTCGCTTTCAGACTCCTCGCTGATCCCTCCTCCTCCTGAACAAAGCATTTGCATTCCAGATCCAAGTAACACATTTCAAACCGAGCAGCCTCAATCTTTAATGGTGGGGGAGCTTTAAAAAAAAATCTACTGTGTTCACATTTTCTGAGATGATACAACCTCAGATTTAAGAGCGCGTCAAGGCAAATACAATAAAAATCAGTGACTTTATCAACACAGCCACGCTAAAAGTTATTCCTTAATGTGTCTCGTCACTCAAGAATAATCATAAACCCCTAAACAATATAAAGCTTTAAAGTTGATTTCATCTCATTTTATAATGAATTTATTCCTGGATTTTGGCTGTGAGCTTCTAATAGGCCACAAATCATCTCAGTATTCAGAGGATGGCGGCCATTTTAACCCTGGGTGAGCTCTTTCTTCTTTCATCTACCCCCCCCCCTGCAGCTCCTGCACCGAGTCATTCACTGAGACCCCAAATGGTATTTATAAAATAGCACTTGGAAAAGTGTCATCGTTTTCCCAAAACAATGTCAATATTAATTACACATAATAAAGATATTTGTTGTGATGCAATATAAACATAAAAAACAATTGAAAATACATTTAATATTGAATCAAACATTGCTTTAAGAAGAACTAGATTCACATATTGGATATGTAAATAAATAATTCATTAATTTTTTTAAAGCTATAACACTCTTCCACATGATGATGAAAATACAGGTTTTTGTGGACAATTAAATCTCGGGCTGGAGCAGCAAATGAATTAAATGGAGTTATCCTGACCCTCTGATTGGTCTTTAGTTCCGACAAAATTCAACAATGTGACTTCCAAAAATATGTTTTACCACTTTTCGAAATAGCAGCAGCAGCATAGTTACTTTGATTATAGCTGCTTTGAAAAAAACTCTACTTTAATAAGCGGTTGTGGAACTTTAAGTATTTTGCTACTATAAATGACTTTCTGCGAGTAAAAATAATTCTGTCTGGCATTGCAGGGGATGTCATTTTGTAAACCTGTTTGAGGTAATGCTAAAAAAATGTATTTGCAATTTAATAACAAGTTAATCATAGCCATAATAAATAAGTAAAGCACCAGCAGCTTTGTTGGAGCAGGCAGTGCAGCAGTGAGCTTGATCCTGATTGGATAAAAGCAGAGCAGGCCACGCCCACTCAGCCTGCAGAGTAATATTAACATGTGGGAGAGTAGCCTACTGTAGGCGAACTATTAATGAAAGAGAGGTGTTAACCGCCATTGGCTCTTTTATACACAGGACAGAGGCAGACGGTTATTCAATTAAAACGTTTTTTTCAGGTATCTTTTGTAATTTATGTATGATTATTGATAAAGAGCTAACAGCGAGCCAATCTTTTCATTCAAAGTGTTTGAAGTAAAAGAGGTGCCGTCACAGCTGCTGTTTATATTAATTTATAGGCTGCAGGATGAATATAAATATATTTCCACTGCAACAACACAAGACAATTCTTTCATCAGACTGCGGAGAAAGTTGGTGTGCACAGAACATATCGCGATGGTTCCTCTGTGAGAGCATTCATCTCCATCCCAAGGGCTCTTATGTTTCTACACGCACTGGCTCGGGAGACAGCAGCAGGAGTTTGTGCAAAGCGTCGCAGAAGAAATTAAGATGAGGTAGAAAATGTCTGTTTTTTTACTTTTATTTAACGCGTCCTGTCAAACGAGGTTATTGTGGATTATCATCGGATCAAGACTGCATTTCACAACAAAGCAGGTGATGGAAGTGAACGGAGGAAGGATATTCAACTCAACAAAATCTGACAAAAACTACGAGGACTATTTCAGATATAAGCGTGGAGCAGAGGATGTGAGAGGAAAGTGTGTCGCAAGAATGCCTCGGTTTTATAACAACATCCATTAAAAATCATTTATTTCATGGCGAAATAGTTTGTGTGTTATCGTGCTGCTATCTCTGAAACTGAAGTACTGTTAAGTGCAGGATTTCTTATAGTTGGTGATTTAAATGTAATGCAACAGCCAATTCACAACTACCTTAAATACTTGAAGTTGGTTCAGTTTGAGGGAAGTTTGCTATTAATTAATTTGCCACCTTTGTAAGATGATGATAAAGTTAGTTTACATTTCTGTGGAACATGTGCACGTTTACTTATTTACTTTGATTCAATTTGCATATGTTATGTCTCTTCCAGTCTGAACAACAAAACCATTTTAATGTAAACTCAATTTAGTGTTTAATTCCATTCCTACATGTTTTTATAGATAACAGGATGTCAATGTTAATATGAATGACATTTCTCACTGTTATTATGCCATTGCAAGTTGATAGATTAAACTACCAGTGACTCATTGAAATGTTAATGTATATATATTAATAAAATCAAATGTATTGCTACCTGATATACTTTATTCTTTGTTTAAATAAAGGACTTAATAAGCCTTGAAATTGTGTGTTTTTGTATCTGATTGTCATTAACTCATCCAAACTATTAATTCAAGAGACATGACAGCAAAAAGAGCTTCTTGTTTAATTCTTAAGAAGGTGCAATCACAGTGCACATTAAAGGGATTATATAAATACCCACAATTATATTTCAGTCCATTACACTGACACACAGTATCCTATTTATTCCATGGTTTTGTGTTGATGTTCAGTCATTTTTCCATATCAGACACAAGGAGGAAGGAGAGCTGATCTGTATCACACACGCTGACCATCTGTAAATACTGACAGAAGATGTGAATGTTAGAGGACACCGTTGTCACAAGCCCTTCCTGTCCTCTGGCCCCTGCTGTCATTAAGGATTCAGAACACTGTGTGCAGGTGAATGAGCAGCATCTGTGATGTTTGCCAACTTATAAACCCTATACACAGCATTTTTCCTTCCGAAAGGAAATCTACAGAAGGGCTACATCTCATCCATGCATACTTAATATTTGTGTGCAATGGGCTACAACTGTCCTTCGGTTGGTTATTAAAGAGGACATGTCATATGGCAAAAGGCTGTCCACACGCATATAGTAAAGTCAAATGGTCATTAGATAATTTGTTTATTAAATACTGGACTCCACATGGGAGAACAACTGACTAATAGTGTTGCTGTTCATTCTGCATTATCTGGTCATACTCTTTTCCAGTCTCTATGACCCATCATTACATATACAAGTCAGCATTCACCTATTCAAACCACTTTCACTTTAAACACTCAAATAATGTTGACTATAACATTGGGAGCCGTTTTTACAAAAAAAAGATCCACAACTAAAGCAACACTGCATTTTTTACAGAAATCGAATACAGGGCTACATCTGTCCTTTTGTTGGTAAATTATTAAAGAGCACATAATATGGAAAAAGGCTGTCCACATTCACATAGCAAAGTAAAATGCACATTAAATAAATAGTTTGTTAAATACTTGACTCTATCTAAGTAACACATGCCTG